ACCCTATAAGCCTCACTGCCAGTACTGTTGATCATCTACTGGATTTCATTCCACTCCTGCAAGCTGTGTCCCCTCCAAGGAATGACCAATAGACCCTGTGTTGTAACTCCTAAGGGTTTTCCAGTTTTTTCAACAAGTCTTATGCATCCACAGTCATAGTTATTAAACTAAAAACTGGCTGATATGTCAAAGCAATAATCATATATCTAATGCTTTTCTTACATATAAGCATTAAAGTGACATTATGACTGAACGAGATGCATCCTACACAATCTTTTCCCTAAGACCTTTTAGCTCTTAGCATCAAGAGTGAACAATTAGTAGCCAAGAAAAAGAAGTGAGTGGGAGCCTAAGGATCTTAAGGAGGAAGCCCTTGTGAGAAGTGAACTATTCATGTGATTGGAAAGCACCAGGAAGACCCCAGGAACTTCACACCTCAGGTAGCCTATTTACAGGCCTTATGCTGTCATCAGTCTCTCAGCCTAATGATTTCCTCTCTGTCCAGGTATGATTTCTGATTTCTGGGAAGTTGATGTTCCAGGTCTGACCCAATATGCATCAAGGCTGCAAGTAAATCTGAGTCACCGATAGACTTTGGTTTTTTTTGACAAGTCCTGACAAGTCCAACAATTAATAACTTGTTTCAGATATGATCCTACATAGGAGTCCGGAAGACAGAATCAGGTGATAGAATCTTTCTCATGGTGTGACTCAGTCATCTAAAGACTTTTGTTGTTGTCAATTAAGGCTGACACCAGGAAACAAGCAGACCCTGAGTTAGGGCACAGCTAGACTGAGGAGAGGAGAGAATGCCCTCATTCAAGCTCGTTCATCCCTTTTGCTTGAATCTACACATAAGCCAAGACCCTGTACTGACACTAGGCTAAACACTATGTGAATTTATGTTCGTTCAATATGGCATTAATTTTCACTATGGCAGGAGGGGTGGTTAATGGAAATTGGGCATTTAAGGTAATAATGTGGGATAGAGTTTTCCCTTAGGGCAGAACAAAATGGTTTGATTTTCCTAGAATGTTCAACCTGGTTCTCAGGTTATCAGCAGCTAGTGTGAGGGCAGTGCAAGCACATGGGGTAAAAGCCTCAACCCAGGACCTGCAGCCAGAAGAACCTGCTAGCTCAATGGAACAGTGGTTTTAAAGAGTCCACATATTGAAGGGCTTTTCAACAATGTGGTTGCCATCTACAGTGACCAGATTGAACAAGCTTACTGTGGAAGTAACCTCAAACAAGCAAAGGTAGTATTGGGGTAGAGAGGATATTAAAAAAGGCTTCACAATAATTATGGAGTTTCTGTTTTGTTGGTTCATTCCTTCTGTACAAAAAAGGAATAAGATATGTTTATGAAGGCGGAAGGATATGGGGTATGCTAAAATAGCCTCCATGCAAACATCAGCTGAGTTGAGACTAAACAGATCACTGTTACTGCTAAGTTATGCATTGAGATTTCCCTGGGATACTCCTAGAAAATTTTCTGATGCCATAAATCTAAAAATAGAAAAGGATGGATAACCAAGAGAAACTTGCCCTTTGGAATATAGAACTACTTTAAATGGACCAATGACTTACAGAGCAGGAAGTGGCCATAGAGATTTTTAAAATTCATCTTTAAACCTAACTATAATTAACAGCTCCCAAGGACTAACAATTAGAAGTGACAGGAAGCAGAAAGAGGCTGTAGGCTGTGTAGTAAAGTTGGACCACTAAAATATTTTCTTTTAAGGGGACTTCATATGAAATGGCAATGGGAAAGATGAAGGGACACAGGAAAACTAGATCAGTACATACAAGAGTTATGCTGATATAATTTTAAAAATAAATTTGCAATTAATTACAAGCTTAGGAATAACTTTTTTAATGCTATATATATCTACACCATTTTCTTGGTTCATGTCCTTCAGGGTAATTGAAATAGAATGCTTCTATTAAAACAAATATCCAGTCAGTCCAACTTGATGTTTCTAACCTGTGATCACAGCTACCTGGAAGGCTGAGGCAGAAGTATCATAAGTTCAAAACTCTCCTGGGCTCCAGAATAATGGCCAAGTTGATAAGACCTAGTCTCAACAGAGAAACTCCAAGACTAGGAATACATCTCAATGGCAAAGAGATTACCTGGTATGTGCAAGACCCTAGTTTCAATACACACACACATCATCTCAATGGCAGAGAGATTACCTGGTATGTGCAAGACCCTAGTTTCAATACACACACACACACACACATCCAATACCTACTAGAACTCAGGTCTAATTTAAATTAAAGTATAAGTATGAACAGTGAGCAATGTCTGCTTTTTCTGTATAAGATAAATACAGAGTGTAGAATATAAAAATATAAAATATAGGTTGTAGACTTTTGAAGTTGGTTATGGATCCGTTTGGAACATTGAAAGGCATAACAACTGTTTCAGATGATATGGCAAAAAGTGTAGCAGCAAGGGCCTCTCCTGTTCAGTTTCCTCTGGTTGGCTTTTCCTGAGCCATGGGAGTTTTGTGGTGTTATTTTCGTAGAAAACGGGAAAATGAGAAAATGGAGTAATCAGAGGAATATTTTACTGTCATAGACTATCAGTTTTCTGGGGTTTGCTTTTTAGGAAAGAGTTATACATATGTGATAATATACAGTTTTAATGTGATCCAAAGAACATATGTAGTTTTCAAGTCAGCTACCTTTGTTAGAGGAAAACAAGGTTAAAAGTTCTTTTTGTTTCCAAGTCAGTATTTAGCTAATTATAAGCCTTTGTGAAATCTTCTCCCTCTGTCAAGTTGCCTTCAGAGTAACATGTGATTTTCATAGCACATTGAAATCCGCAAAGATTCAGTCAGGCACCAGGCTGTTTCATATATCCAGGACCCAACTACCATGGGAGGAGGAAAGTAATAATAACTTTGAAGATACACAAGAAATCTCAAAAGCATTAAATCTACAGTTTTTATTCTACATAGAGAAAATACCCTCTGTCAAGTTGCCTTCAGAGTAACATGTGATTTTCATAGCACATTGAAATCCGCAAAGATTCAGTCAGGCACCAGGCTGTTTCATATATCCAGGACCCAACTACCATGGGAGGAGGAAAGTAATAATAACTTTGAAGATACACAAGAAATCTCAAAAGCATTAAATCTACAGTTTTTATTCTACATAGAGAAAATAGTACGCTGTGTGTGTGTGTGTGTGTGTGTGTGTGTGTGTGTGTGTGTTACTAGGGACTGAACCTATGGCTTCATACATGCTAGACAAGTGCTCTACCACTAAGCATTAGAAATTTTGACAATACTATTAATACCACCATACTTTGAATATGATTTAAGGGTGCCTCAAAAATTTATATTTTGAAATTTTAATTCCCACTGTAAGGTATTAAGAAGATGGAAAATTACAGGGACTGGAGAGATGGCTCAGCAGTTAAGAACACTGACTGTTCTTGCAGAAGACCCAGGTTTGAATCCCAGCACCCACATGGCAGCTAACAACTGTCCACAACTCCAGTTCCAGGGGATCCAACAGCTTCTTCTGTCCTCCGTGGACATTGCATGACACAGGTGCACTTACCTACATGTAGGTAATACATGCAATACACATAAAATTAAAATAATAAAATATTTTTAAAATTTTTTTTTAAATTGCAAAAAGATGCAAAATATTAATCCAATTATAGAGTTTAGAGATGAGGCCTTTAGGAGGTAAGTTTAAATAAAGTCATTAGGGTGGAGTTCTCATGATTGAATTCTGGTAGATTAATAAGAAGGACAGACACATAGTCACACACATGCTCCCTGTCTCTTGCCAGATGATGTTCTATACAATCCCAGGATGTTCTATACAACCTGGTAGCAAAGTCCCTTGATCTTGCACCTCCAGAAGCTTGAGCTGAAATAAACATCTTTGCTTTATAAAGTATACTGCCTTATGTATTTTATTACAGTAACAAAATGGTATAATATAGATACTTGTACTTCACAGTACTGATGTATGTATTGAAAAAAATTAACATGCATAAAGGTGCTTAAAGCTGTGCCTTTTATATAATAATACTATATACAAGTGTGAGCTACTGTCATTATCACTGTAATTGTTTGTTGTAGTTCCTGATGCTGCTACTGTGAAAGAAACCATCTGTGTTGATTAGGTTTTTTTTTTTTTTGCCAACTTGACATAAACTGGAGTCACCTAGGAAAAGGAACCTCAATTGAGGAATTTCCTCTATCAGATTAGCCTGTGGCCATGTCTGTGAGTTAGTTTCTTAACTGCTAATTGATATAAGAGGGCACAGCTCACTATGGGCAGTGTCATCCCTAAGTAGGTAGGCCTGGGCTGTATAAGAAAGGTAGCTAAGTAGACTGGAGAGAAGCAAACCAGTAAGCAGCATTCCTCCATGGTCTCTGCTTCATTTCCTGCCTCCAGGTTCCTGCCTTGAGTTCCTGCCCTGACTTCCCTCAATGACAGATTGTGACCTGGGAGATATAAGATGAAATAAACGCTTTTCTCCATCAGTTGGTCTTGATCAGTATTTTATCATGGCAACAGAAATCAAACTAGAACAGCATTTTAGAGCTTCTTAAAGTTATTCCTTATTCTTTTCAGTTTTTCATCAAAGGTATTTCTAAACACAGAAGTCACTACTCTTCCTGCATGCTACCTCATCCACCAAGAGTTAAACTCTATAACAAACTGTTAATCAAAATTATACCTCAAAAGTTCTCCTGGATACAAGAAAAACTTGGCCTTTCTGGTTGACCATCCTCTCATGGCATCACTGAGACGAACTCTCTCACACGCTATTACTCACTACTGTTCTTGTAAAGACCATGGAAATACATGGACAGATCAGGAGCTCACCACTCTCTGGGAATTACTCAGCCTAGAACATATTGTTTTGATCTCCTTTGTGTGATTCAATTTCTCCTCATCCCCACACTTCTCAGTGCTTCTGAGGAGTTGCATATTACTGGCTAGCCACAGAAAATGTATTGCCTTACCCTGCTGTTAGGCAGCTGGGACTGCTGGGACAGGGTGGACTCTACAGTCACTGGCTGATTTCCACTGCAGCCTGAGTCTTCTATTTCATTCACATGACAACCTTGTGAGGAGGAAAAGAGAAGTTCACAGATGCATAATCCATCTTTTCTCTCTTATTGCTTTAGTTTGGAGGTTAGAAAGATGGCAACCAAAGACACAAGCATTCCTTTACCACTCAGTTTTCCTATTTGCATCTGCTTACTTTCTGCCAAGAATAAGTCAAACCTAGACTCTAGATGCAAGCCTTTGTATGATCAGAGGAACTTCAACATCATGGAAGTTAACTGTAGAGCCTTGCTTCCTTGATTTGACTCCTGTAACCTCTTCTTATATGTCAGTTATTCACATTCATGGCCATATCCAGAGTCTTTTTGTCACCTAAAACTGTTCCACCTGTGTCATCTTCTCTTCACATATATTCTGTGGCTCCTTTTGTTCCACTGGGAACTTTTCCTTCCTTGTCTTTATCGTTTGTATTTCTTAGATCTCTTAATTTCCCCCTATTTATCAGGCTCTTCTAGCACAGTTATCTCCTCTGACTGGCCTGGGAGCTATGATTCATTATTTCAAGCACTATCTTTCCACACTCTTACTCCATCTTGACCTGGTACCACCTTAAAAATTCATACTCTTCTGCTCCAGGAGTTTTTGGTACCACAACAGATTTTTTTCTGAAGATCCTAGCTGGCTTCTACTCTCATCCACCTCTATAACCTTGGACATCTCTTTCCATTGATCACTTCCCTAACTTCTGAATCTTCTCTAATGAGAACATGCTCAGACCTCTCTTCATTTAGGGAAAAGTCTCTGAACTCTGCCTCTCTGTTTTCTGTCCACTCTCTCCTTCTCTTCCTAAGGATTTTTTAATGAATACTCTGTATTTACCATCTTCATTTTCTCTTCTCATACACAGCACAATCTGCTTCTGTTTCCTGAGCACATCCTTTCCTACCCTGTCTGTACCTCTGTTATAACTAATCATTGTACTGTAACCATCACTACACATAAGGATATCAAGCCAGAGTACCTTGTCTGTCTTAGCTATGCAGCTGCAGAGCCTAGCACAGTGCTTGATTGATAGGAGGTGCTCAATAAACGAATTATGTCACAAACACTTACTGAGCACCTACTAGGAACCAAGCACTATATCGGCTCTGTTGTAATCCACAACACCTGAACCCTAATCTGTCACAAAACCCATGTTCAATCACCACTGATTCTCACAGACACTTTCTCCCCTTTGAAAATATCAAGATGATATATTCAGTTATGCCACAACCCCTGCTCTGTGCTGGGCCTTACAAGAATTCAAAACTTGTTGAATGGGCTTGATAAATCTCAGTAGAAACAAAAAGGCTAATTGTGAGAAGTTGCTCATATTAATGGTCACAGAGGAGTCTGTTCTGGAGCCTGGTAACATACAGAGGGCTTTCCAGGCTTTCAGAACCATTTCTGAAAAGCAACACATTCACTTGCATCTCTATCTCAACACAACCGTTTTACCAAGCCTGTGTATAACCTCTCCCTGTCCCTTCTCAACTTCTCTCTTCTTCCGCCAGGGATTTTTCTCCTCTACCTTCAAAGCAGTGCAAAAGTCTTTTTCTGTTATGCTCACAGTATGAAGAAATACTAACATTAGAAGTACTCTTGACCCCCAGGATCCATTTCACATTTTTCCATTACACTTGTCCCTAAGCAAGCTACCTTTCCTAGCTCTGTTTAATATGTAGACTGGTTCCCATGTCAAGTGGTCAGAAAGCATAGCATATGTGTTGGAATTGCCAAAGAAAGGCTTCATGGACAAGTAAGGAGACACAAAGGACAGCTGGTGATTGCAGTTCAGCAGATGGAAATGTTCTGGATGGACATGAATATTTTCCATCTTTTAGTGTTTCATGTTTTTCTTTTTTTAAAATAGGAAACATGTATATAATGCTAGATAGAGAGATGCAAAGTGAAAGTGTTTGTCCCACTTCAAGTCTTTTAGATAGACCCAATGAAGGGGCACCCCAGTTGCCTCACCCTGCATCCCTGTTCAGCATGGAGAGTGGTCTGTGCTCCAATTCCCTCTCAGCAATTTGGGTAAGCTCTTCAAGGGATGGTATGATAAGAATAGGAGGTAGGAATTGGATAGGCAGTTAGGGTAAAAAGACCTCAAAGAAAAGTGGCCAGTTTCTTGGCTAAAACTCACAATGTCCTTGGGCCTCTTAGCAACCTACTCT